ATTACATACAAGGTACATACATATTTTGCGTTTTCTTGAAGTTTTTAATATTTAAAAATGAGTAGGATATTTGGAAGTAAAATGTGAGAGGGAAACGAATGGTAGGTAAGAGAATGGGTGGCGAACGCGATCAAAATCGAACTCGAGTCAGAAGTGAAATCCGGACGTAGGTACAGATTTTATCGACAGAATGCCGGGAAAATTGAAACTTATATAGCGGGCCCAGGTCGATTAAGAGATTTTCGCGAGGGTGGAAATCGAGCGACTTAGCGGCGTATAACTCCTTAGCTCCTTATATCACTCAATCGTAAAACTTGGCTTCTCACAATGGCGTTCGAACGACACCGCACCTTCCATTGGGTACGAACGGAAGGGATGGAAAATCACGTGCGTCCGATGTCGTGATTTACGAAAGGAATTTCTATCGAGACTCGTTTTAACGCTCGCCCCGAGATTTTCACCTTTAGTCCCGCTCTATCGAACAGTCAATTGCTCGAATTTCAAATGCGGAGTTCGAACGAAGACGATCTTCGAATTCCGAGATATGGGTTGCGGAGTAACCTAGAATTCTTTTATTTTTCCATACACGAAAAATCTATCATAAAATACACGTAGATACGTGGTATAAATAAAAATTCTTGATAAACAGAAAACTGGCAAAAGCACTTAGATATTAAGAAATTATGTTGTTACTGATAACGCTTATCACTTTTCTAGCAGAATAACAGGCAAAAGCACTTAGATAGACAGAAATTATATTGTTACTGATAACGCTCATCACTTTACTAGCAGAATTAGATTAGGCAATTAATTATTAGAATTGGGAATGAATATATTTATTCTATGAAATGTGTTGCTCCTAACAGCTTTCAGTCGATGACCTTCTTTCTCGCTTCCTTCTTATACTTCCGGTAGATGTAGTCTCGAAATGGAATCGATGGTATCTTCTTCCAGTCGAGCAGTCATCCAACTGCCCACTTTGATTCACCCTTGACCAATCCGAAACTTCCCCAAAGGATTTCTTCACCGGTGTGACTCTTGCGGTGGCTCCCTTCCTTTTCCGCTTCCTCTTCCTTTCCGTAGTAGCAGATAGCTTGTTCACGGCGCGGAGCAATTTATTTAAATCGAACGACATAAGTCGAATGGCAAAACGCGTGATAATTACTAGTTAGTATATATTATGTCTCGTTATAATGGCGATGAATTTTTAGTGCGCAAGTCGATTCAATTAAACAGTTTAATCGTTTGATTGAGCCGGGAACGAATCGCACGTTACATTAGTATGAAAAACTGAATGATTAATGGCATTTTCTGTTTGCGAAGCTCTCTCCGATCAACCGATGTTTGCTGAACCGATACCAAACGTGACCGTGCCACTCGGAAGGGACGTCAACTTACCTTGCGTCGTTGAAAACCTCGGTGATTACAAGGTAATTAAATTGGATGATCTATCATATGCATGTTATCTGTGTTATACGTATGTTAAGATTACTTAATACATGCGAAAAGTTTAAAATTATATGAAAAGTAAATCAAAGTCCCGAATGAAGTGCGCAAAACTTAACTCCATAATTCCGTGAGGACACGTAAAAAGTGTTTATGCTTAAGTGTAGGAAGTTGGCTATTACGGGAGAGTAGCCTGAAAGANTCTTTTAATATCAGAAATGGCTTTGAGATAAATTTTATAGTATAGATGTTTAGTCCATAAGTAGTAGGAAGAAAAGTAGGTAGCACTGGTTAAAACTGGAATCGAAACAGGATGGAATGGAAAGCAACACTTTATTTCGTCCCTCTCGTGTCCAATTATCTTAATTGCATTGAAAGACCTCATTGTAGTGTTACTGGCCTTACCAATGAGTACTTCCTCTCCTGTTGTCAGTTGTTATTCATTCTCTACGCAATGCGACGCAATGCGACTGTGGAGGAGCTCTTCGACATTGCTATAAGTACTGGATGTCTCATACAGCGTAGAACAATTCTATAACAGATATCAATTAATTGAGCAGTCGAATAACTTTTATGTAATTTATTTACTCACTTCCTGGGACACTTTTTAAAATTTGTCAAAATACTTTCTTAAACATTCTTTGCATTTCTATTGGTACACAAAGTAATATACATATATTATACGTATATACTATACATAAATACGTATATATTATACATACATTTTTTCCGGTAAGCGTCTCGTAGCTCGTAATAGGATTAATGGAATTATGAAGTCTCGAGTGAGAGAATGAGAGTTAATTGAGAATTTTTTAAGAGGGATCTTGAGGTGCGAAACTTTCGAAAAAACAAGAGAAAACTACTTGGCTTCTAAAAGTGAAAAACCATCCTTCGAATCATACCGAACGACACGGGTAAATAAATATTGCTCAGTGAGTGAAAATACGTAAAGTTGAGAACGGGAGAGTAGCCTGAAAGAAACTATTTATAAATGAATTAAATTGAATGAATCGATTAATTTTTGTAAAGGAATTTTTTTTTAAAGAATGTGGCGGGAAGATATAATTTTCGCTAACGAAAATAAGTCAACTAAAACAGTGGCGAAGGATTAAGGGTATGGGGTTGCATTTCTGCTATTGAATAAGGAGAACTAATTTCCATTGATAGCGTCTTAGATAAAGGGAAATGTTAGAATATCTTGAAAGAAACACAAAGCACAGTGAAACTGGGTATGAATAACAGTTATCAATGTTATCAAGACAATGACCCGAAATTCCGACTTGTACAAGAATGTTTATTACATACTTAACTATCTCGAAGTGTCACATCCTTCATCACAATCACGGGATTCAGATTCCACAGTAAACTTATGATTGCAACATTAAAAAAGCACCAATAAAAACACAAGAAATATTAATAGAATGTTTAACACAATGTACATGGATATATTGCGCCGTGAATGACAGCCGCGACTCACCACCGCAATCTCTTTATTCCATTTACCTCTATTAAATACGTACTTTTATGTGATCCACGCTCAAATGACAGATTACAAAAAGCGTGAAAGTAATCCGACAACAATGTGTTAACATAAAAGAATGAGAATGAATACCGTACAATTATTTGGTTAAAATAATTTTAACATGCCCAGTTATTTAATTCAATAGTAATTCGATAAACAGGATAATTTAAAATATTAAAAAACTGCTACGATTTATTTTACGTATACATAATAGTATACAGATCGGATTAATGATTTTTATATTTCTTCTTATGGGGCAGGTTGGTTTGGTATAAGTCCAAACATCAGAAACGGATTAAGATTATATACCGGTGTACTGTTGTATTTATAAGAGTTACTGTATATGTATGTGTTCTCAGTAATAGAACATTTTGTCGCGATCTCAGATTTACTATAGGAACGATGTTAATGGAACACTGAGGATGAAGGAGTCCTTCATCCACTGTCCACTACCAAGAGCCGTGAAAGCTGTTTTCAAACCAAATAAACGCACCAAGGTGTTCCTCTTTTAGAGGATCCTCTCGCGGCACAAGCTTCTTTCAATCGATTTCTATTAGTTTCCTGACCTTTATCCTGCATTGGAAAATTTCAGATACCATTCAGAATAAAAGTTGATCCTATTGTAGCATAGCATGTCTATTGATTAAGAGGATAAAACGTGATACGAGATAACCGCATTATAACTGGAGAAATATAAAAGAAGCAGAGGTTTAATATTTATAAATTCTTTTAATATCAGAAATGGCTTTGAGATAAATTTTATAGTATAGATGTTTAGTCCATAAGTAGTAGGAAGAAAAGTAGGTAGCACTGGTTAAAACTGGAATCGAAACAGGATGGAATGGAAAGCAACACTTTATTTCGTCCCTCTCGTGTCCAATTATCTTAATTGCATTGAAAGACCTCATTGTAGTGTTACTGGCCTTACCAATGAGTACTTCCTCTCCTGTTGTCAGTTGTTATTCATTCTCTACGCAATGCGACGCAATGCGACTGTGGAGGAGCTCTTCGACATTGCTATAAGTACTGGATGTCTCATACAGCGTAGAACAATTCTATAACAGATATCAATTAATTGAGCAGTCGAATAACTTTTATGTAATTTATTTACTCACTTCCTGGGACACTTTTTAAAATTTGTCAAAATACTTTCTTAAACATTCTTTGCATTTCTATTGGTACACAAAGTAATATACATATATTATACGTATATACTATACATAAATACGTATATATTATACATACATTTTTTCCGGTAAGCGTCTCGTAGCTCGTAATAGGATTAATGGAATTATGAAGTCTCGAGTGAGAGAATGAGAGTTAATTGAGAATTTTTTAAGAGGGATCTTGAGGTGCGAAACTTTCGAAAAAACAAGAGAAAACTACTTGGCTTCTAAAAGTGAAAAACCATCCTTCGAATCATATCGAACGATGCGGGTAAATAAATATTGCTCAGTGAGTGAAAATACGTAAAGTTGAGTCAACCACCGACTAGATTTTGTCAATTAAGTTTTCTCGGCGTTTAAGTAAGCTACATTAGCTCAGATTATAAGTTCACAATTATATTTTTATATATAATATTTCTATAGATAATAGCATAAAATTTGCAAGTTACTTATTATTATTGCATAAGCCGTACTGTTTATATAATTTCTCGTCCCTTTTGTCTTTCGCGGAACGTCCGTAATCCGAAAGCGCGATAGTCCCGTTCACAGTTCCGTTATCAGGAAGAAATTTCGCGCAATTACGGCGAGCGAGCAGTGGCTGGTTGTGTAGTAAACGAGAGTGGCACGTGTTCCGGAAACTTGTCTCCGTCCTCGTCTGCATGTCGTCCACGCACGTGCATCGGTGCACGTGACTGCATGCGAGAACCACGTTCTCGAAGACATTCACCACGCTGCGCTGCACAGCGTCGTGCGTTGTGTCGCACCGCGCCGTCAACCCGTTTATTAGCCCGAACCAATTTACCCGTGGTGTTCCTTCACGACAACGTGCCGTCCCACGCCTGGAAAATTCTCACTCCAATTCTCTTTCTCCGGATTCCGAAAGGATTTAAGTCCTTTCTTCGACTCCGCAACCGTCTTTCAACCGGGAGAAATGAAATAGCGACAGGTTTTGTGAACTGATGCTTGAAAATTGCTCGTTCGAATTCTTAGCCCAATTAAATGTTAAATGTAACGCATCCAATGCATTTTCCTGCTTAAAAAAATTAAATCAATGTGTAGTAAAAAAAAAACAATTGAATGATATTCTAGAAACTTCGCAGAGTGTCCAAAAGTTTTGAGGATTTTAAAGCAAGAGAATTATAAATAAAATATTTTTTGTGTCGCCTAGCGATGTTTGGTGTATGGCGAGAAGCTTATTAGAATTTACGAAAAAAAAATGAAATGTTCAATAGAAAATATAATTTAAATATAAAGTAGAACCACCTGAACGATGAATGGTTAATGGGAAAGTGATGGTAATTTATTATGTATACATGACTAGTAATGGTGGGATAAAAGTGTAGGAATTCCTTGGGTAGGCGGGAAACGAAGGAGTAAGAAGCGAGCGTCGCAAGTCGGAAAAGAATTTTAATAATTCGGTTGATCTAGTTTTATGAAAGACGAGGCGAGCGTTACAATACGGCGACAATAAACTGTGAGCCCGGCCGCGTTTACAGCTTCCATCCATTATTCCGGGGAATCATAAAGATGTTTGCAGTCTTGCTACGTCCAGGGAATAAAACTCGAAACCTTCTCTCCTTGTCCACCTTTCCTCTCTATGTATAACATTCTCAATGTCAACCGATTCGATCTTGGATCGAACTCCAACACGTTCACGGGAAATTCTTCTCTCATGGTCAGGAAAAAAAATAGTGATCAATTAACGTTTCGATGAACGTCATACGTATCCCGAACAATGGAACGCATCCTTTTTCAAGAATCCTCGAGAGTTCCCCTCTATCTAAATGTAAATTATGCCATACCAAAATTAAGTTCATCCGACGCGTAAAATATTCATGCGATCTACACGAAGGTACGCGGCTCCTAGGATCCGACAAAATTTCTCTATGGTTACCCATCTGTGTAAACTTACTAACGATTAGCACTGTATGCAGCTCCTAGAAGTTCATCGATTCGTACAATATCGTTAAACTGTTTCGCAGAGGAGGAATTCATTCCCGCGGTTTTATCAATTTTTCCTCGTTTCCGTATCTTCGTAGACAACGCGGTATTGTTGTTTTCCATTTTGACTCGGGATTGGAATTATCATGTGTCAAGGTTCCACTGAGATTTAACGGCGTGACTAAACTAGACCAGTATAGAGTACATAGTCCCATAGTGCCTACAGTCCCGTGCGACGAGGCGAAATTCGGCTTTGATGGAAACGTCACAAAAATCCCATTTTACGCTAGCCGTCAAAGAGTTCCCTCTCTCCCATTCTCTCCCTTTGTATTCCGATGCCGTAAGAAACCCCACAACTCTATCAATTTGCCTGGATTTAATTATACCGCGAAGCCAGGGAATCGTGATGAAACTCTTTCGTTTGAATGAGCTGTAGTGGTACGAGCACGGGCAGTTGTGCGTTTAGAGAATCCAAAGAATTGGACTTTCGACACGGCACGGTGTGGTCCGTTGCGGTACGATGAGTGCGGCCAATTGATTAAATTACTCTCGTTATGTACGGATTCAGGAGTTACATTGCAAGCATCCGTCTATTAAATATATGTTGTCAAATTACAATTCGAAGTTGGACTACGGAGAGGGTCGTGTTGCACGTAATGGTAATTTAGCTTTACGAGGGGTGTTCACTTTCAACGAGGAAACGGTCGAGCTGAATTACTGTTTACGTAATAAGTATATACTGCATCGAGATAATGAGAGAACGAGTACGCGCGAGAAATGGCTGTTGCAAAAAAATTCAATTTCTATTCTTGTTCGGATGCTATACATTTTCCTGAAGGCCCAGATATTAGTAGTGCAAAACAAAGAACAGCGTGAGACGAAAAGAAGTCGCCCCTGTTCGTTCATTATTAACAGGGGAAAGTAGGAGTTAGGTAAAGGCACTTCCGGGGCAAATGCAAAAGTTGAGGCGAACTACGGTCGAGCGCTCTCGGTAATTAGCTAATTAGGAAATGAATTTAATAATTAATTTGCTAACCGGATTACGGCGTAACAGTGCGTCGGCGTGGCGTCGAGGTGACGTTCCGTCTCACTCTGGACGACGCGGCCGATCGCCTCGCGATCTCTCTGAAATTATTTTTAATTACCGTGCCGATAAATTGTCGAGTTAACCCGTGCTCGAGATATCCAGCCAGATTGCGAGAGATCGTTCCCGACCTGGCATAGCGCGGCGCGACTGAATGGGCGCACGCCCAACCCTGCAAAATTTATTCTTCGCGCTGGAAAACATTTCCGAATAAAAGGGCGATAACGTTCGTCGATTAACGAGAAACTTTTAACCGGGAATGATTAACATTTCGTTCCGTTTATAGAAACGCGCCGCGTCTGTTTCGTCACGGTCATTTTTCATTTCAACCCGTCACAAAATTTTCTTCTTTTTGCCAATTTACTTACCGAGTATTTTCTTCGTTTAGCCGTTTGCATAATCTCAAAACTGATCGTTTTTTACTTTCTGTTTTGTTTAATTCGATACTATAAATTAAAAAATTCATATTCACGTTCCTAAATAAAATAAACATCGCGAATAGAAACTATAAAGAATGAAGGTTTATTTCAAAAAGGGAGGGAGCAATTGTCGACGGATGTTAAAGGCGCGGCGATGTTAAAGCTAAACACCATTGAGAGAAATATAAGACGACCTTGTGGGAAATCAAGCTCGACCTAATGACAGCACGGGCAGGCGTTAGAATATTTTTGTAAAGTTGATTAAAACGGGTAACCCTCTCACCTCGACGCAAAACGCCTCCGTATCCTTGGGATTGCTCCTTTCCCCTTGCTCTCTGCCGGTATTCTCTCCTTTTATCGGTCATATTCCCATCTGCTATTTTCCTCCCAGTCACTTGGTTAGCTTCTTCCGTCTTCTTTCAACGTTGCCCTTCGCGCGCTTTATAGGTATCGTGGACCTGTTCGATGATTGTCTTAAGAGACTTCATTAAACTCGAAACAACTTCCTTTTAATTTCTGTCTTTTATATTGTTATTTTATTTTTAGGGATATGCACAACGGAGTGTGTGCGTGGATTTAAAAATCATATTAAAAAAACGCGCACTGTTGAAACAGTGTACAACTGTTGAAACAGTTAATTGTATCTTGTGTAATCTAGAAAGATTTTCGCATTGGAAAAGAGCTTTTTTGATCAGTCAATGCATCCGTGAAAGATTTTATTGAAACATGCGAAATTCAATGATTGGCACTTCATTGGATTTCAAAAAGATGATCAAAAGATTTCCGCTTATCGAAGTACCTCGTTTTTAACATTCTTTACCGTTCACGGTTTACATCTAAATTAGACTTTTTACCGAGCAACTTTTCTCTTTTCTTTCTTCCTTCTTTCCCTCGCATCTCAATTTACTTTTTCTCTTCCCAGGTCCTTTCCCTCTATTCTCCTCTATCGACCCATCATTCGAGCACTTTTGAATTCCACCGTGTAGCAGCGAACGGCGTGGCCCGGTTGCCGCCACTGGAACGACCCTCGAACGAGAACGAGCTAGTATCGTTTACGACCCTGAGAATTTTCCCCGGGCAGGTTATATTACCTGCCGAGAAAAATTTAGGGCTGCGTCGCTTGTTGATGATTATCGAGCGTTCGTAAAAACTACGAATATTCGCCTCGTACAAGACAATACCCTGCAAAACTTCTCCTGTAACCTAGTTCGTGCGGTTTCGAATGTAATTTAAAAAACGGATCGTGATTAAATGTCTATGTATTATCAGATTTCTATCTCTCTTAACTACGTATATGTTTTCTGTATCTGTTTGATATGACTAATGGACTTTTGCCGAGAAGAAAGTATTAAATAGACGGTATGTGGGTCATCGATAGGAAAATTGGTTGTCATTTGCGTTAAAGAGATAACGTTTACGCTGCGTCGTAGTCAACGTAAACGCGAACAACGAGTCAGCACTGCGGGGCAGTTCGCTACGTATTTGAAGCGAGACACTGAACTATAGAGAGTTTGCGGTATTAAAATATCGCCGACGCGTGCTTCACATGCGACCTTTACCTACTATCTAAATAATTGCTGTCATTCACGCTTCGAATGAATTTTAAAGCAACGACCAGAAGACGGTCAATGTCGAGTATTCATCTTATTAAAGTAACGAATCCCAGCTGTTCGAAATGAAATGGTTGAAAGCCGTTCTTAACACGAAACGTACCACGTCGATCTTTCGCTTTCCTTGTTTTTCGTTTTCACTCGTCTCTCTCTAATTGCGTTCAACTCCCCCTTCTGGCCTGAAAGTCGACGGACAAGTTTCTAGCAAGCATTCAAGTAGCGAGAAATTAGATCGAGATCTCCGCGAGAACGGCCCTTGACTCGATGTTATAAAAGTGTTTCTCGTCAAAAACGTAAAAATTATTTTCCTTCCACCTTTTACCGCAAATCATATGTTTTTCTCTTCAACCTTATTAGCATTAAGCAGATCGTTCCGAAAGGAAAATAAAAAATTTGAGTTGGTTGGGCAATCATGCGCTGTAGACATCCAGAGGTCTTAATAAAAACCGGAGGTTCGCAGAAAATGCCAAGAAGTCCTTTCAAACGCAACGAGTATAATGTAAATAAATTATTACATATACTGTGTGTGCGTGTGGGAGAGATCCTTGGAATGGACAAAATAAAGGAAGAAGGTATTGAAGCGGCGCTTTTTCCTTGTATAAGGTATGAAAGCCTGGTTTCGAGGGTCGCTACGTGGCACGGCGCGGCATTGCGCGGTGGCAGTTAAGCCTGACTTTGAACCAGTGCCAGGTATTTCAATCGAGCTCGCAAAAAGCGGGGTGCGAGCTTTTCCCCGAGACCGTTTAAAGGCCAATATAACGGCTACATGCCTTCTATGACAGAAGTCTGTTTTTTTTTTATTTTGCTATCGAGCATGATCCATCACTTGGCATCACGTCACGTTAAATTTTTCATCTGTAGCTTCAATATCGCCATGATACAAAGGAAATTAACAATGGAATGATTGCCACTCGAGGAATTGAGAAATTCTATAGCCAACGAACTGTTTTCCAGATGGGTGAGACCGAGAGAATTTTCGAGAGCGAGCTGCTCGTTACAAGCTGTAGTTTCAGGACAGACGCATCCAGGGAGGAAGATCGCGAGTGTATCGAAAACCAAGGATTAACCGAGTTCAGCCATGCTTTAATCTTGCTCGATATGACGTTCCTCCAAGCGACTGCTTCGTTCGCGTTCCTTTGATCCTTTCGATAAATTAAATCAACGAATCAGGTCATCCAGTTTGGATCGATAGCGAAGCTTGGGAACAATCTCCGAGCGACGTATCACGATTTTGGAAATCTCGCCGAGAGGCGATTACCTTGCTTTGATTTTTCGCTAAAAACGAACGATGCACCGTTCTCCGTAAAGGAATGCTTAAATCTACTTTACGTGACGAGTTGTTTAATTTTCCCGAGGCAGGATCGTTTCTTCCGTCAGGGCGAAATCGGAACGAAAGTTGGCATGGATAGAGAAGAGGGTTGGAGAGCAAAAACGAGGAAAAGTGGCGCTTTCGCGCAACCGAGCGTTCTCGAGTGCCGCCAAGGAAATAGAGGGAAAAAGGGGGGAAGCGGTGAGGCAGGCACGCGGCTGGGTAGCCAGTTTAACCCAGAAATCCTCGAAAGTGCATAAGCTTTGTCATGGAACGAGCTTAGTTAGGGGAGCGTTAGCCTAGCCGAGCGTAAAATATGCTCGTAATAATGTTTGTTCATAGCATTTCTGATGAGTTACGCGTGCGTAGGTGTTGCTGTAAAGTGCCAAGCACAGAAACAGACCGTCTTATCTTTTTATTCTATCGAATATCATGATCAATTACCGCTTGCAGGACATTCGACGATTCGCGAAAATATCAGTAGTTTTCTAAATTGCTAGCGATTCACAATGATTATTAATGATCTTTTTGTATTATTTTTTAAAGAAGCGAGACTACTACTAATCCAAAGGTTGATCTATTTTGATGCAGGTAGCGTGGATCCACGTGGGTCGTCAGATGCTGTTGACTATCCACAAGCACGTGGTTGTGAAGATACCGAGGTTCTCGGTATCCCATGACAATCAGAAGACGTGGTTGCTTCATATCAACAACGTCCATGAAGAAGACCGAGGCTACTACATGTGCCAATTGAACACAAACCCGATGATGAGCCAAGTCGGTTTTCTTCAAGTTGTAGGTGAGCACATTGAACATTTCTTGGTATCCTTACAAATTAAATCCTTGGAAATTAAGTGTCTAATTAAAAATACTGATATTTCATTTATTATACTGTTACTTGATTGATCTTCTTCAGTCTAATCTAACCGATACGTTATTTTCCAATTTGTTTCCGAAGTCCCACCAAATATACTGGACTCATTGTCCACGGAGAGCACGATTGCTGTTCGCGAGAATCAGAACATCACATTGACGTGCAAAGCGGACGGATATCCAACTCCAAAGCTAATGTGGAAACGTGAAGACGGCCAGAACATAAGCATCAATCGGCACGACAGAGGTAAGTTTTCAAAACGAAAATAAATAATATTACATAAACTGTTTGCGATAATAGGAAAATCGATGCATTCGATCGCATGCTAGAAATTACACACCAATTAAATGAATTTTCTGAAATTGATCGAAACGATGCTTTACAAGCAAAGAACATGTAATTCTCGTTCGCCGGCCGTTTAATGTTTCCAATTAATAGTAATCGGAGAGAAATTCGAAACAACATGAATCAATGTTGAAACATTTAATTTGAGTACGTTCCTTCGAACGTTTCAATGCTGTTCGTTCCAATTAGCGTGAATTAAATAAATTAATAGATACTGTTATGCAGAGTTTGCATTATTTTCAATTGAAAATCCGTCTTTTTGTTTGTCGCTTGAAATGTTTGGTTTTAAAAATCACACTAAATCGTAACACGTTAGATCAAGTTATTTGTTTGCAGATAATTTGCGATAAAACAATTATTGGAACAAAAATTTCGAGTTGATGTAAAATGTGTGTTGATGATGTTGAATGGGATCGGAAGACTAATAATAATATAATCTATTCAATTATTCACAGATTAGATATGTGTGTACATGCAGCTTGACATTTGACTGCTCGATCAAATTTTGATTGTGTGCTTAGAGATACATGATCAGAAGTTATCGAATTTTGAAATAATTCACAGATGTATTTACACGATAGGGGATAGCGCTATTTCTAATATATCCGTCGCATGCCGCGCGTTCATTTTTAGCGCCGCCCCGCCGCGTTAGTATAAATTTTTATCAAAACCCCATCTTCCCCAGTTTTGTTCTCTGCTCTTCTGTTTTATTCTATTCGACGAAAATTTCATTCGTTGTTTGCGTTACTCTTTATTCAAGCGACGTATTATTTGCACAGTTTTCATAATTTGCCAGCGAGGGTGTTTGTTTGGGAGGATGATTGAATTTCCGTTTACAAAATACGTAGACACGTAATAAATTGCACTCCTGATCTTTTTATCTCGTTTTTTCGTGAGTCGTTGCGAGCACGAAAAATCCTTTTATGAAACTCCTCTGGATGTGACGATGTACACGTTGCAGTGTAATAAGAATATCCCCTGTAACGTAAACAATAATGAAACTGAAAGATTTGCCTATAAAAACGTACTGACCTGTTCCTTGAATTTTCTCCCTCCTGAGATTAACTCCGTAAAAATATTCCGGGGTAAACGGTACGTCGCGAATGCTCGTAAAGTTCAGAATGGCAACCGACCGAGAGTAGGACTAGGAAAAGGACCGCGACCGCGATCGCGAACGTGCCTGTGTTGTATCTGACGTTACGTCCCTATCGACTTTACGATAAACTTCGATCGTTACACTTGAGGACAACGTGCAAACTACGCGGAACCAACGAGAAAATTCCCAACGGTTGCAGTTCCACCGGTAATAAAGTACCTACGATAAACTGTATTCGTATACACCCAGAATATGCACATGGATATGTATACACACTGCCTAACAGTCGCATTATTAAGAATGCAATTAACCGTTCGCACCATTCTACTTGTTACCATCTCACGGGGATTATGTTCGTTTTTCTTCCCGTTTGTTCTCGTTCTAACATTAAATTGTCAAGATTTCTTTGAATTATTTCTAAGCGACACATACGTGTGCAGGTTGCTCTACTTAAATGTAGACACCTAAATATTTCCTTCGTTTGCTATGATAAAACAAATATTTTTTACGCTACGTAAATGATATAAAAAATGAATGTATTGCAAGAGTTTTTCATTCTGTTTTAAGTTTTTTAACGTCAGTAATATTTTTTGCTTGTAAATGTATATTTTTTTCTTTTGCATATTATAAATAGTTGACATTAAAACGCATTCAAAAATACTATTGACGGAATCTTAAAGTGACATCTGATTCATAAAATTTGAATTTTGAAATTAAATATAAATTTCCATCAATATCACTGACTTAGCAACGTCGAGCAAGAAATTGCAGATATGTAAGTCTGGGGTTTTAAACTTGGAAACTTACTCGCCAATGTCGGCGATGTTCAAAGCTCAGAAAAAATAATTTTTGCAAAGCATTCATAGTTTGATACCATTTTCATTGCATAAAAAATATTTCTCCTATCATCGCAAATGAAGGAGATATTCAGGTGGCTGCATTTAAGTGAACCAATCTATGTACACAGCGTATTGATGATTGGGGAAAGGAAGTATGGAAACGAAGAATAAGACGGGTGCGAGAAGAGACTTCGAGGAAGAACGATAGCTAAGTAAAGTGGAAGTCTGGTGGAAGGGTTTTTGCTCCAGTTGGTTGCTTCTTAAATATTGTACAGATTAATCAACTGAACGCGGTGGCTGCTGCGCTAGTCGGTACTGCAACCTGGCCGACAGTCAGTGGCGCAACTACTACTGGCGAGGATAATCCGTGGGGCGGAGACTGCTGCCAAACCAGTAGCGTGGCGCGCAAAATTATGCACACAGATGCTACGTCCATGAAATATTCACGGGATGTTGAAGATACGCGGAAATCAACCGAGTACATTCTTTTTTCGTAGAGAATAGCCAGACAATGCCTGTCAAGTTAAGAAGAAGGAACCAATGAAACAAAATGTAAACTTTTTCCTTGAATCGTAATAGAATTTTCGAAAAGCGAAAAGAGCGCCATTAAATTTTCGTAGAACTATTCCGCAGCCAAGATCACCGAGTTCTAGTCGTTCTGACGGACTTTCCGTCATCGTAAAACTGGATAGAGATTAAAAGCAGTCAGCTCGCTAGAGCCGCAAGGCCCTCAGGGAAGAGCTAACCTTCTGGACAGTGAAAACATCCGAATGTCAGAATGTCCCAGGTGGCGCAGACATTAGCTCACGGGTAACGGGTAACGTGCCCATGAACTAACCGCCGTCGCAGTGCCGTGTGTTAGCTTCACGAAAGCTGCTGTGGTTTAGCTCCACAGTTCAAACGTCCTTCCATTCCACCTCTAAAACCCTCAGCACGTCACGTTTTACGTGTCACCGGTGGATCACCCTCGCATCATCAACAGTCGTTTCGTCGACAAAGTTTTCATTAACCCTTGATTTCACCGGATAAAATAAATTCCCTTCATTTAAAATAATGAAAATACGTAATTTTCTTGTTGAAGATTCATCGAGAAATAATCATAGGATTAAACAGTATATGTAAAACTAAGCGTAAGGGAAGAAAAGCATGAGCAACGTTACTACAATGAAAGAGAATTCTCGTATGTGTCGCAAAGGCAGTAAAAGGCTCGTAACTTTGACAGCCATGTATCAGTCCTGCCGGATTATCGAAAATTCAACGTCGTCGTTCTGTCTCGCGCATGTAAACACCGTTAACTCGAATCGTCCATCTGGTAGATTACGCACGATCAGATTCATTGAAATTCGGGGCTCAAATTCGTGATACACCTTGGACACGCGACTCCAGAAAACTCTGAATACAAGGAAAGTTTGAATAGGCAACAGTACACATATTTCTACTATGCGAAATTAATAGAAGCAGGTCAACCAGAGAGGGAATTCTCTTTACAGAGTTTTGAACAGTCTACAAATAGGAAGAGAGTAGGTATTATTGCTCATTCTAGGATGTTTGTATCAAAAGTACAGAAAAACAATGAATTGTCGGAGATAAAATGGTACATTTTATGTATGTATGTATAAATACAGTTAGAATATTTGTCCTCTTGTTGAAATTTTCATACAAAATGTGTTCTTTTTTTTTAATTCCATTTATGGATAAATAATTATATTATAGTAACTAATTTTATATTTTATTCTTTTCAACTTCTGTAACATTTGTACGGTATTATGAATTTGCATTGATCATGTTTTTCAAGTCATGGACGCTATCAGGTTACGATTTCGTGGCACGCGCTAGTTTGAAAACATGTTTATTGCATGGCTATTCACACTAAAAACATGAGAAACTGTAATAACAAGATTTTCATCCCTCTAACAAATTCTTTTTGTACAGGAAGCGAGATTTCACTTATTTAAATATGACGAATATGAATTTTGAACTTGCTTATCAAAACTGTAGATTAC